TTTCATAATCCAGCTTTGTTCTGACACTAGTATTAGGTACTGATATTTGTACTCAAAAATTGCCAAACACACTGACCGGTGGACATTTACACCTGCATTGGCCATTTACTAGGTCTTTGGAATATATACAAAGTATTTATGTCCCAGCAATTGGTTTGTGGATATGTGGAAGTATATATAATAAGTGGGGGAGGCGTGGAGGGACGGTGGAAGGGAGGAGGAGGAGAGGAGGGAGGGTGAGGGAGGGAGGGTGGAGGGAGGTGGGTGGGGGGGGGGGGGGAAGGGAGGAGAGGGAGGGAGGGAGGGGGGGGGGGCGGGGGTGAGGGTGGGTGGACGGGGATGGGGGGGGGGGGGGGGGGGGGGGGGGGGGAGCGGGGGGAGGGGAGGGAGGGATGACGGGGACGTGGGCGGGGGGGGGGCGGGGGGGGGGGGGGGGGGGGGGGGGTGTGGGGTGGGGGAGCGGGAGAGTCGGTGGGGCTGGCGTCGCCAGAGGGGAGTGGAGCGGAGTGCGATGCCCTAAGGCCGCGGGTCGCATCGCGATTTGATGGGGGGGCGGAGGGGGGGTTGGGAGGGCCACAGAGGGAGGGAGGGAGGGAGGGAGGGAGGGAGGGAGGGGGGTGAGGAGGGAGGGAGGGGGAGGGAGGGAGGGAGGGAGGGACGCGGAGGGTGGGAGGGAGGGTGGAGGAGGGGGGAGGGAGGGAGGGAGGGTGGGAGGGAGGTGAGGGAGGTGGCGGGGAAGGGAGGGTGAGGAGGGAGGGAGGGGAGGGAGGGAGGGAGGGAGGAGGAGGGAGGAGGGAGGGTGGGAGGGAGGGGAGGGGTGGGAGGGCGGGAGGGAGGGAGGGAGGGGAGGGAGGAGGTGCCTCGATTCCAGCTTCGGAGGTGGAGCCTGGGGAGGCTGGCTGGCGCACTAATCCCGGGCGGCCTGGCGTGCTGTGTTGCGTGCTCGAGGGGAGGGCCTATGAGGGTCGGCGACTGACCCGGCGGTCAAAGGGGGGGGCTCGGGGGGAGAGTCGCACCGGAACGCGCGCAACCGGGGCGTGAGAGCCTGGTATAAGCGCAGTCTTGGCGGTGCCTGGTCCGGCAACTGGAGGAGGAGGCAGGCAGGAGAAGAAGAATGAGAAAGAGAAGAAGAAGAAGAAGAAGAAGAAATTTCGTATATGATAATTATAAATAATAGTTGCTTGAAGCATGAAAAACAAAGTCCACCCTGACAGTGACATGTAAGATGAGGTAACATCTGATAAGGAGTTGACGTTGATGTGATCACTCGAGGGTGGGGGAGGGTGCAGCAGATAGAAAAGATTGAGGTGACGTTTTGATGAGCATCACCCTCCTTTGTTTTCGCTGGTACACAAACTTGTTCTGTCTATTGTCTGTCTGTCAAGCTCCCTGTATATCTTTCTATCCATCTACGCTCTCTGCCTCTAGAGCCACAAGACTGCTTCAGCACCTTTCTCACTCTCTTTCAAGACAGAGTATTGGCTCCTTTTGTCTGGAATTTTTGGGTTATCCTAGTTAATTTACTCTATGTATACATGTATTGTGTACCTGTGGAGAGACAGAGATAGAAAGACAGAATTGAAAGAGATAGACGGGTTAGACAGAGACAGAAAACTGATAGAGTCAAAGACGACGAGATAGAGGAAAGGATTGACCACTGATACAGACAGACAACGGAGATACAGCCTGCGCCAGCAGCCGGCAGTCACACAGCTGGCACCATGCAGCTGGCCATGCAGCCAGCCAGCTAGCCCAGCACCTAGCCAGCCAGCTAGCCAGTCATTCAGTAAGCAGTCATCCAGCCAGGCAGACAGCAGTCATCAAGCAGCCAAAACCAGCCAGCCTGCCAGCCAGCCAGAATTGTTTCTCTTGCTTAGGGCATAGATTATAAGACATACTAAAGGGTGTTGCACAAAATATTGCAAATGGGTTATTATCGAGGTTTTTGATATTTCCTCGACCACTTGTACGCCACATCCACCTCAAGCACTAAACTTCAGGGTCAAAATAACTTTCCTCTTATAATGCGGAGTGTGAATACTAATGACATCAGTGAATCCCAGTGTTTGCTGCCTGTTTGCTCTAGCTGGCGCCTTCATTTGAAACGGGTCTCCCACACAGGTACTAAGTGGTCAAGATTTTTTTAATACTGCGACACCGAGTATGTTAAGCCCATTCTTTGCTGAACAAGGCTTATCAGGCCAATCGTGCCAAATTTGGAAGGCAGGAAAATAAAAACGTCATGTTGACGTTTGGGGCTCTAGCGGTAAAAACATTTCAATACGTTTGGAGCATTTACGGGTTAAAAACTGTACCAAACATTAGTTCTTCGTTCACTTGCCGTTAGCGCTACGATCGTAGATCTATTGTTTTATTTTACATTTGAAGGCATGTAAAATAAAACGTAGATCTACATTTGGAGGCACACCGAGCGAACGTTATGATCTACATTTGGACAGTTTAAGGGTTAAACTCATTGAACTACATGTCATGGTACTAATATCTCTCTGGGGCAGGTGTATGTAGTTACTTCACGTACTGTGATACCTACACCTACAATCTAACTACACTGACTTCCTACAAATAAATACTTCCTACTCATCTTCATTATGGACTAGAAGTATGTTAGGTAAGTACAGTTTGCAGAAGACATCGGTATCTGATATAATTCCAGGTATCCGAAGCATTATTATAGCAAAAATTGTTGCCCCTCGGTTCCCGTTTCAACAACCCAGTTTGCGATACGATTCATATGAGACGTGTCCAGTGTTTACAAGCCAGGCCAGTGTGCGGCGCATCAAGGGATACATTAGTAATTCTATATTATCCATATTATCACGGTTTTGGTGGCTTGTTTCTGCAATATAAGTCACCATGGCCCCACAGAAAGCTTCTAGTGCCAACCAATCGGACCTAGGGTGCTAATGGACTATTGAAATAAGGAAATGTGTGCAAAGTGGCTTGAAGTGCAATCTTTTTTGATAAAATCACCCTGACCACAGCTACTGCAAGCGTGTTGGCAAAACCTGTACACTGACAATGTTGTGAACCACTTTCGGCAAGTCTAAAAGGAACGGAGGTACAGGCCTCTATTGGACAGATATGTTGTGCCGACAAGTAGTCCTAGTGACTCTGAACTGGTCCTAGTGGCATTAAAAGAAGAAGGGAAGTAAACCCCGGAAAATGATTGCTACCTCAAGTCCTAATGGGAGGGGAATTACCCTTCTAAACATTAAAAACTTTGGACACTCTCCACCTTCCTCCCATCTTCAATCTAGAATCACCAGTTCTTCAATTAAAGGTTAAGTGTCAATTATTCTATTGTGATTATTCTATTGTTAGTATTGTTATTGTAATTTACAGTGGACCCCAGCATAACGATTATCTCAAATGTGACCAATGATGTAAGTGTATTTATGTATGTGCGTTTGTGTGTGTATGCTTTGGGTCTGAAATGGTCTAATCTACTTCACAATATTTCTTATGGGAACAATATCGGTCTGTACTGGACCGGACAACATACCTTCTTGGGAGTGAAGAAAATCGTTTTCGGGGGTCCACTCGTATTATATTGCATTATCCTTAATATATCATGGGTTAAAGTTTTTTTTTTCATACTTTTGGGTGTCTTGCAGGATTAATTTGATTTCCATTATTTTTATGGCGGAATATGATTCGCTTTCGATAATTTTGGTTTACGATGAGCGCTCAGGATTGGATTTAATATCGTGACTGGGGGTCACTGTAATGAGTGTACTAAATGTGTATTTTATGGCGTTTGGAGATAGGACAAGATAGTCCTTCAATATGGCACTAATATAAACTCTATGGCTTATTTATCTATCACAATTTATCTAATATGACATAATAAACAATATTAATAACATAGAAACATGACATATACTCTAGAATGAATAAAATACGTCATTAAGTATGTCCCGAGTGTTGCTATGTTGTTGTTGGGTGTATAAGGGCCACTGAAAGCATAAGCTGTACCTCTGTATGTATGTTCAAATTATTAAATAAATAAATAATGGTGGTGAAGACTGCAGCAGGAGCAGTACAGACTAGAGAAGGCAGTGCTGTCAGTCGCCCAATATAACTCCAACAACACTGGAGGAGTTACTTTCGTGCTGTCCTTTTTCTATCAATTAATCGCTTAACTTACTTGCTACATTGTTAATGCTACACTTTATCACTGACTGGCTCTGTAGCCTTTATCGACTTGTGCTGCTTTAGTATCGTACACATCGTAGAATCACTGAAGGCGGCACATTCTCCCCTCTCTCTTCCTCCTCCACTTCAGTACTTTTCTACGAGTTCTTTCTTGAATTCTATAGTTTTTCCTCACCTTCTTTACCAATGAGCTGGCACCAGTACAATATATTACGATGTTTTCATGTGTTTTATGATTGTTCATGGTTCAATAGGTTAAGGAAGCAGCACTGTATTATATTTCCCTACAATATATCGGGGCACCAAACATTCGCGATTTTTCAACAATCGCGAGGTTCTTGATCCCCTAACCCTCGCGAATGTTTAGGGAGACCTATATATATTTTGCTTTTATTGCTTTTCATGCCTAATTCTACTGTTAGCTTAATGTATGTTAGTATAAACTTATTATCTGGCATTTGTATGCATTTGTAAATGGAAAAAATGACGTTCTGCTTTCTGGCGATGTCTGCTTTTTGGCAGTAACCTAGTACCTAACCTGCCATATAAGTGGGGCCCTACTGTACATATAAAATATGCAATAACTTTAAAACACTTGAAATTTTGTAAAGTTTCCAGACATAATGGAGTGATGTACTCATGGAGACCGTAAACAAACCGGATGGTGAGAGGTGATCGCATTAGAAAGTCGGTGGGAGGAGCCATATAGCAAATTTTGGTCATAATTTGAAATGTCCATATTAGCAGAATGCCATAAAGAGGGGCCCTACTGTATACAGTAAAATTATTTAAAAATGTAAAATTGTTTCATAATGTTTCTCAAAGGCAGATATATATTGTTATAAAGATATCACAAATGCAATAAAGACATAATATACCTTATTAAATCTCTCGAGATAACCTTCATCACCCAACAATACGTAGGCCTTTAATAGATATTCATAGTAGGAGTCTATACCCGCTCCCACACCAGAGTCCCGCCGCACCCAGTCACCTAATTGGAGAAATGCCAGAATATTAAAAAGCACTTGAGCAAATGTACAAAGTAACTCAATATTATATATCAATATCTGCAAATAGCAAATACATTGTATGCATGTGAAGGAAGATACCACTGAATGAACAATAATTATCCTTAAAGAAGTCCTGTACTTTTTTGTGAATTCTTTATGAATAGGGATCCATTTTCCTGTACCATCTCACATTACAAGCCACGAAGCATTTGACACTTAAAAATATTAACTCTGTCTAAAATATACAACAGAGACAGATAAACAGAGGTAAAGAAGAAAGAGGAGGAAAGGCTGTTATTCCTATTAGGTAAATGTACAGTGTGTCATGCATGTTAACAAATTCATGACACTTAGAAGTAGGTGGTGACCCATAATAACAGACATTTCCAAACAGGTCTTTTCATTCAAAATTCTGCACAGTTTTCATCTTCACTTTACACATGTAGAGAAAGCGTGTGAGAGGAAAGAGAGCAGAATGAAAGGGAGAGATGAGAGGAGAGTTGGGAGGGAGAGTACATAGGTAATGAAGATTACAGGCCATCCATTCTATAAAGGGATTTTCTACTGAGGACTAACTAAAACTGAGCAACTTCTTGTAATACTTAATCAGTACATTTAGGCAATTCTGTCTTCAGTTATTTAGGACATGATGCTTTACAGAAGATTATTGCCGGGAGCAATGGACTAGTAACCCCTTCTCCTGTAGACATTTACTAAAAAAGAGAAGAAGAAAAACTTTATAAAACTGGGATGCTTGAATGTCCGTGGATGTAGTGCGGATGACAAGAAACAGATGATTGCTGATGTTATGAATGAAAAGAAGTTGGATGTCCTGGCCCTAAGCGAAACAAAGCTGAAGGGGGTAGGGGAGTTTCGGTGGGGGAAATAAATGGGATTAAATCTGGATTATCTTTAGAGAGTTAGAGCAAAGGAAGGGGTAGCAGTAATGTTTAAGGATCAGTTATGGAAGGAGAAAAGAGAATATAATGTGTAAATTCAGAATTATGTGGATTAAAGTAAAGGTTGGATGCAAAAAGTGGGTCATAATAAGCATGTATGCACCCGGAGAAGAGAGGATGTAGAGGAGAGAGAGAGATTTTGGGAATGTTAAGTGAATGTATAGGAGCCTTTGAACCAAGTGAGAGTAATTGTGGTAGGGGATCTGAATGCTAAAGTAGGAGAAACTTTTTGAGAGGGTGTGGTAGTAAGTTTTTGGGGTGCCAGGTGTAAATGATAATGGGAGCCCTTTGATTGAACTTTGTATAGAAAGGGGTTTAGTTATAGGTAATACATATTTTAAGAAAAAGAGGATAAATAAGTATACAAGATATGATGTAGGGCGAAATGACAGTAGTTTGTTGGATTATGTATTGGTAGATAAAAGACTGTTGAGTAGACTTCAGGATGTACATGTTTATAGAGGGGCCACAGATATATCAGATCACTTTCTAGTTGTAGCTACACTGAGAGTAAAAGGTAGATGGGATACAAGGAGAATAGAAGCATCAGGGAAGAGAGAGGAGAAGGTTTATAAACTAAAAGAGGAGGCAGTTAGGGTAAGATATAAACAACTATTGGAGGATAGATGGTCTAATGAGAGCATAGGCAATGGGGTCGAAGAGGTATGGGGTAGGTTTAAAAATGTAGTGTTAGAGTGTTCAGCAGACGTTTGTGATTGCAGGAAAGTGGGTGCGGGAGGGAAGAGAAGCGATTGGTAGAATGATGATGTAGAGAGAGTAGTAAGGGAGAAAAAGTTAGCATATGGGAAGTTTTTACAAAGTAGAAGTGATGCAAGGAGGGAAGAGTATATGGAGAAAAAGAGAGAGGTTAAGAGAGTGGTGAAGCAATGTAAAAAGAGAGCAAATGAGAGAGTGGGTGAGATGTTATCAACAAATTTTGTTGAAAATAAGAAAAAGTTTTGGAGTGAGATTAACAAGTTAAGGGAGCCTAGAGAGCAAATGGATTTGTCAGTTAAAAATAGGAGAGGAGAGTTATTAAACGGAGAGTTAGAGGTATTGGGAAGATGGAGGGAATATTTTGAGGAATTGTTAAATGTTGATGAAGATAGGGAAGCTATGATTTCGAGTATAGGGCAAGGAGGAATAACATCTTGTAGGAGTGAGGAAGAGCCAGTTGTGAGTGTGGGGGAAGTTCGTGAGGCAGTAGGTAAAATGAAAGGGGGTAAGGCAGCCAGGATTGATGGGATAAAGATAGAAATGTTAAAATCAGGTGGGGATATAGTTTTGGAGTGGTTGGTGCAATTATTTAATAAATGTATGGAAGAGGGTAAGGTACCTAGGGATTGGCAGAGAGCATGCATAGTTTCTTTGTATAAAGGCAAAGGGGACAAAAGAGAGTGCAAAAATTATAGGTGGATAAGTCTGTTGAGTTATAGGTAGTAGGTTGGTAGACAGCAACCGCCCAGGGAGGTACTACCGTCCTGCCAAGTGAGTGTAAAACGAAAGCCTGTAATTGTTTTACATGATGGTAGGATTGCTGGTGTCCTTTTTTCTGTCTCATGAACATGCAAGATTTCAGGTACGTCTTGCTACTTCTACTTACACTTAGGTCACACTACACATACATGTACAAGCACATATATACACACCCCTCTGGGTTTTCTTCTATTTTCTTTCTAGTTCTTATTCTTGTTTATTTCCTCTTATCTCCATGGGGAAGTGGAACAGAATTCTTCCTCCGTAAGCCATGCGTGTTGTAAGAGGCAACTAAAATGCCGGGAGCAAGGGGCTAGTAACCTCTTCTCCTGTATATATTACTAAATGTAAAAGGAGAAACTTTCGTTTTTCCTTTTGGGCCACCCCGCCTCGGTGGGATACGGCCGGTGTGTTGAAAGAAAGAAGAAAGAAGTCTGTTGAGTATACCTGGTAAAGTGTATGGTAGAGTTATTATTGAAAGAATTAAGAGTAACACAGAGAATAGGATAGCAGATGAACAAGGAGGCTTTAGGAAAGGTAGGGGGTGTGTGGACCAGGTGTTTACAGTGAAACATATAAGTGAACAGTATTTAGATAAGGCTAAAGAGGTCTTTGTGGCATTTATGGATTTGGAAAAGGCATATGACAGGGTGGATAGGGGGGCAATGTGGCAGATGTTGCATGTGTATGGTGTAGGAGGTAGGTTACTGAAAGCAGTGAAGAGTTTTTACGAGGATAGTGAGGCTCAAGTTAGAGTATGTAGGAAAGAGGGAAATTATTTCCCAGTAAAAGAAGGCCTTAGACAAGGATGTGTGATGTCACCGTGGTTGTTTAATATATTTATAGATGGGGTTGTAAGAGAAGTAAATGCGAGGGTCTTGGCAAGAGGCGTGGAGTTAAAAGATAAAGAATCGCACATAAAGTGGGAGTTGTCACAGTTGCTCTTTGCTGATGACACTGTGCTCTTGGGAGATTCTGAAGAGAAGTTGCAGAGATTGGTGGATGAATTTGGTAGGGTGTGCAAAAGAAGAAAATTAAAAGTGAATACAGGAATGAGTAAGGTTATGAGGATAACAAAAACATTAGGTGATGAAAGATTGGATATCAGATTGGAGAGAGAGAGTATGGAGGAGGTGAATGTATTCAGATATTTGGGAGTGGACGTGTCAGCGGATGGGTCTATGAAAGATGAGGTGAATCATAGAACTGATGAGGGGAAAAGGGTGAGTGGTGCACTTAGGAGTCTGTGGAGACAAAGAACTTTGTCCTTGGAGGCAAAGAGGGGAATGTATGAGAGTATAGTTTTACCAACACTCTTATATGGGTGTGAAGCGTGGGTGATGAATGTTGCAGCGAGGAGAAGGCTGGAGGCAGTGGAGATGTCATGTCTGAGGGCAATGTGTGTGGTGTGAATATAATGCAGAGAATTCGTAGTTTGGAAGTTAGGAGGAGGTGCGGGATTACCAAAACTGTTGTCCAGAGGGCTGAGGAAGGGTTGTTGAGGTGGTTCGGACATGTAGAGAGAATGGAGCGAAACAGAATGACTTCAGGAGTGTATCAGTCTGTAGTGGAAGGAAGGTGGGGTAGGGGTCGGCCTAGGAAAGGTTGGAGGGAGGGGGTAAAGGAGGTTTTGTGTGCGAGGGGCTTGGACTTCCAGCAGGCATGCGTGAGCGTGTTTGATAGGAGTGAATGGAGACAAATGGTTTTTAATACTTGACGTGCTGTTGGGGTGTGAGCAAAGTAACATTTATGAAGGGATTCAGGGAAACCGGCAGGCCGGACTTGAGTCCTGGAGATGGGAAGTACAGTGCCTGCACTCTGAAGGAGGGGTGTTAATGTTGCAGTTTAAAAACTGTAGTGTAAAGCACCCTTCTGGCAAGACAGTGATGGAGTGAATGATGGTGAAAGTTTTTCTTTTTCGGGCCACCCTGCCTTGGTGGGAATCGGCCAGTGTGATAATAAAAAAAAATAAATATATTTTATTTTTTTTTTAACCACAATGGCTGCCTCCAACTAAGGTAAGGTGAGCCAAATAAGGAAACACATTCACCATCATTTATTCAGTAGGTGTCTTACCAGAAGCGAGTGAACATAATTCAATGACCCACAAACATCCCCACCCATCCTTGAGACGGGTGGAGATGTTGCTGTTTAAAATTTATTTATTTATTTATTTATTTTTATTTATTTATTAATTTGAACATGATACAGAGAACCACAAGGAATAAAATTTTTAAAAGTGCAGCAACTGCATCAAACAAGTGAAAGTTTTACCAGTGGTGATATGCACAGCACATATCATGGTTTGAGAAACACATTACACAAAAGGTGTGTAGGATAAGCAGAAACACATAGGGTCCAGACCAATGACACAAAGTCAATGTACACAATGAACAATATTCTCTAACGACATAATGGTGTCACTCATTTGAGGTAGATGTTAATCACACGAGATAAAAAAAAATGTTGTAAATATAATTCTTTCTACAACTGCTTAAGAACATTAATATACTATGATTTGGATGGAAATATAAATTTTTGTGGCA